CCCTCCCTCCATGCCCCCATCCACCCAGCCCTCCTCCCTCTCTCCAGTTCCCTTCCCTCCCCCTTTTTTGACACGGCAGCTGACGCACCCCCCGCTCTGCCCCAGACCCTGACCCCTGAAACCTCAACCCCCACGCACCTGACTCGTCTACAGCACCACGCTGCCCCCCCACACACCCCTATCCACCCAGCCCCTCCCTCTCCCTTCTCTTTTCTCCATGGGCAGCAGCTGCCCCTGCTCCCCAGCCCCCCAGCCCACCTGACTCGTCTCCAGCACCACGCTGCCGTCCGCCTCGGGCTCACCCCCCGCCGCGCTGAACAGGGGGTGCCCGTCATCGTCCGCCCACAGCGCGTCGAGCGGCTCGTCCGGCGACGGCAGCGCGTCGGCGGCGCCGCTGATGACGTAGAGCTGCGCGGGCGCGGGCGCGCGGGGTTGCGGCGTTCAGGGTGCAAGGTCGCGGTCGGGGGCGTCGCGTCTGACGATTGGGAAGAGTCAGTTGAGAGAGTTGCGGGTTTGAATCCAACATTCCCAGGTGGTGGGGGCTGCGGGCGTGGAGAGCGGCCGGCGATTCGACTGAGAAGACGTTTGACCGGCGGGCGCGTGTTTGACCGCGAGTTGCTGACCTTAATCTTGACGTCTGGAAGGTAGGCGGGCATGCCTGAGGAGCGGTCGACCGCCTTTGGGGGTGGATGAGAAAAAAAGGGGCAGTGAGGGGGCGGCGAGTTGACATGAAGCGCGAGTGGATGAGGGGAGGTGCGGCTGCCATGGCTTGGTGGCAAGAGGGCAGGCGTGCAGAGACCCCGTTGCTTTGCTGCATCACCAAGGCCGCAGGCGAGGCTGCGGCGGCAGCCGCAGCGCTCAGGGACCGCGGTGACGCGGCGGCCTCCGCCGTGGGTGCCTCCGGCGGGCCGTGCGGGCCGCGTCCTCTGGCAGGCTCTGCACCGCCCATCCTGCCCCAACGCACGCAGCCAGCCGGCCGGCCAGTGAGCCACCCATACACAGACGCACGCACACACACACACACACACACACACACACACACGCGCACGCACACGCACAAACGCACACGCACACGCACACGCACTCGCACACGCACACGCACACGCACACGCGCACACACACACACACACACACACACACACACACACACCAGCCACCACTACCCTCCGCCCACCTGCACGTACACGTCGGCGCCGCACTTGGCGCGCACCACCTGGCCCCCCTTGCCGTCATCGCGCACCCAGTACTGTCCGTCAAACACTGACGCGTCCTCGCACACCTGCAAGCATTTCAAACCAACCGCCCTAGCATGAGACACAGGTGATTGCGATGCGCACAGCCAAGCGGGCGCAGGGGCAGCCCTCTCAAGGCCATCACAGGCGCAACACAAAGCGCGGGGGCGCGGATGCGCGGCCACGTTTGCGGGCGCCGTCCGCCAATGAGAACCGAGGCTGGCCCAAGCCCGCGTTTGCCCCAGCGCCAGCCGCGGCCGACCCGCCCACGCTCCCAACCCTGCCGCAGAGCGTCCGCGCAAGCGCACGTGCACACCTTCAGTGCGTTGTTCCTGCAGAGCTGGCAGTCGTCCAGCAGGCAGCCCCAGTTCCTGGTCGGGGGCCGAGGGCATGAGGACGGCGCGTCAGATCGCAGATCACATATCACAGATCACTCTGCAGATCGCAGGTGACACGTCGCAGACCTTGCCCAGCACTAATCGAACTGCTGAGGTTGTCCACCTTTGAAATTCACGACTACCTCGGCCAACGTGCAGGCGGCAAACGGCCCGTTTAGCGGCAGCAAAGGGCCCCACTGCTGGCACAGGGTCACGACCGGCCTGCCGCATGCTGCTGCCTGGGCGGGGCGCGCGCGACACTGTGCTCAAGCGCGCATGCTCACTGGCAGGCGTGGCGCCACTCCAAGTCGATGTCTATTGCGCCGCTCGGCAACGGCGACGCTGCACCCGCCAGCTGCGCGTGCGGGCAGGCGCGGTAGGAGACACGTGTTGTGGCGAGGTGAGTGCGCAGGGGCCATGCAGGAGGGGCGGCGCCCTGGACGCTACTGCAGTGGTGGCGCGCGGCTGCGCGGCCGGAGCGCTCCCAAGCAAGGCGCGAGGCACCCGCGCGGCCGCAGTCATTCAATTCGGTTCGGCACACGGATAAATCGCGCGCATGCGCTTGGCGGCGGCGACCCCACCTGATGCGGCGCCGGCGACGCGGGCACCGACAGCGACATGGGCTGCGGCGGCAGCTGCTGCGGCGTCATCGCCCCGGCCTGCGCCAGCTGCTGCTGCTGCTGCTGCTGCTGCTGCTGCTGCTGCTGCGCCGCCGCGACCGCCGCGGCGGCGGCGGCGGTCGCCGCGTCGACCGGGGCCGTGCGGCTGCATACGGACAGCACGGCGGCGGCCAGGCGGCCATCGGGCACAGCGGCGGGGCTGATGGACAGCTCTCCGAGCAGCGCCCGCGACCAGTTCAAAAGGAAGCCCTGCGGTCGGGGCGCGGGGGACCAAGGGCGTGATCGCACGCGTGCGGTTACGCCTTGTTTGATCCGGGGCGGTGATGGGCCCGGCGCGTGCGCAGCCGCTTCGGCGGCGGTCTGTTTTCGGGTGTTGTAATGGCATGGGAGACTCGCGTTCTTCCCCCATGGTCCGGCGCGGCTGCTTGGCACGGGTGCGCCTGCATTTTTGGTCGCAGCTGCCCGGCGGCGGCGCGCCCGGATGCAGGGAACGGCCGTATCGCTGTGACTCTGGCACAGCGCGAGCTCCGACCACGCGCCGGCTGCAGCCGCACGGCGTGAACCTTACGTACGGCCTTCGTAGCAGCACACACGCGCAGAAATACCCCTCGTAACACGCATACATCGCTGATGTGTGGCTCGTCGCGCGCGCGCGTCTGGTGGCGCCGCCGCGGCGCACGCGCACCTGCAACGCGTCCTGGGGCACATTCGTCAGCTCGGGCGGCATAGCCACCATGGATGGCATCATTTCGCCGCGAGCCCCCCGTGGGCAGCGGCCTCAAATTGTCGACCTGGCCACTCGGCGCACCCCCGCAAGGCCAGCTCGGCACGCGAGAGGATTATGGTCGCCTCTACCTGCTCAAAAATGCCACCTTACACCGCAGGCTTCGCTCTATCCGTCAGAGCATAGTGACCGCGGGTTACTTGCTTTGCTTGAACAAGAGAGCGAGTGGGCGCGAATAGAGCAAAAACAGCAATAAGTTTTGAAACGAAGCCTGACGGCGCTGAGGGCCCAGCTGTACCCGCTGCTAAGCTTTACTGTCAGCTCAGGCCGTCCGTCGATCCAGGATGGCGCCAAATGAGCACGAGCAGCGAATGCATATGAGGAGAAAGTCTCCTTATTCAGCCGGTCGCACGCTTCCCTGCCTAAGCGCTGCAGGACATGACACCGAGCCGCCAAATCCGTCCACCTCACCATGTGCGCTCAGCGGCGGTCAAATCATCAAAGCGGCCCAGCACACTCCCACTTATGCCCGTACCTCCGCGTGCCCAGACGGCAAGGCACACGAGCACGCGCAGCCCGCCGTGTGCACATTTTCATTGTGAGCTTGAGCTGGAGGCCGTGGTGGGGCCGAACTCCACTGCCACAAGGGCCAGTACGCCCGTGGGGCCATTCGCCTCACCGTGTTCTCTCATCGGCCCCACCCGAACATAAAAATTTTGCGATTTATCAACGGGGTGGGGGAGCGAGAAAGGGCAGCTGGCGCCTGAGTGCATCCGCGTCAACAGCCGAGCCCCCTTGGGACCCCAGGTGATAGCTACATTGATGACTCGTGCCGTCGCGTCACTGCCATCGACCCCGCGCTCGGCTAGCTGCCCATCAGCAAAGCCTCCAAATACGTGTTAAGCCACAGTCAAGTGGCTTGCCATCCATTGCCATGCGCGGGCTGGTCTGAACTGGTAGGTGTGCGCACATCGTGTGCTGTGCGTGTGCAAGGCCTGCGGTATTGCCGCCACAGCACGCCGCGAGCACGCACGCGGCACTGCCCACACTGGCCACCCCCGCCTCGGCCGCAGCACCGCCATGTAACCCGCCCGGTCCGACCCGGCTCACTTGCTCAACACCCCTTCAACGTGCGCGCGCCCCTGTTGTCGTTTGCCGCAGCGATGCACCCCCCCCTATATATTAAGCCCCCTTGGGCCTGGCCCAAACCCTGGACTGCTATCATTGGCCTAGCGGCTGGTGGTAGCGGGATCCATCCGTCATTGAAGGCCTCCGCCTGCAGCCCGCGAAGATACACAGTTGCTGCAATAACCCATCAAGCAGCTCACGAGGAGCTTGCAGAGTTGCGCTTAATAATGCTCGAATTCAAGCGCAAAAGCAAACCCAAGCGCTCGCCCACCTGCATCCACCCGCCGCAACTGGTGCAGCGCGCCGAGCTTTTTCAACCCCGCACGCACGCGCGGCGCCCATCGGCCGTGTAGTGCGTGCCGGGATTCGGGCCCGGTGCTGCGTGGTTGACTACGTCACACAAGACCGTGAGTAAGCTGTTGTTACAGCAAGCCAGCCGAGGATGCATGTCGCAGGCTGCAAGCATCCCGATGGGGAATATCGTGTGTGCGATTGTGGTTGACCATCGCACACAGAGGCCTGCTTGCGCACGCGCGGTCAACAGCGCGCTCGCAGGCTGCCAGCAAGCGGACAAAAGGTGCGCCTTGGCTGACTGAGAGCGCCATGGATTTTGTGGGGACAAACCCAAGGCTAACGGAAGTGTCGACGAGACGGATCGAGGCTCCTGCCTGCGCAAGCGCAGTGACCCGGCGCACGCGCGGGCCGCAGTGGGCACGGGCCCGTGCAGTCCCCGGCGGCGCGATAAAGGAGCGCCTGCGGGCACGGCGCTTGAGCGCCCCACAATAGTCAGCAAGCGCGGTTGCGGGGGGCGCGTTGCTCAAAACCAGGCGCCCGCACGGTCGCGCGCTCGCATGGGCGCCAGGGAGGCGCGTCGCAGGCTGCTAGGCAAGCCTCGTCCAGCGGCCACCCCGGCCTGCCGGCGCATGCTGATCCAACAGGCCTGGCGGTTCACAGCAGCGAAGAGCGCGCGGGGCCCGTCGCTGATGACACAGGGCGGCGAGAAGCTTGCGGCATGGTGGTGCATCCCCTCGTCACAAGCCGCGGCCGCGCCAGGCGCGATCGCCCGGCGCGGCCGCGGCATCAGAGGGGAGCCCGTTGCTGCTGCGGGGCCAGGCATTGGCATCACAAGCAGACCCGTGGAATATCCTGGGGTGCGGTGCGGCACGCACGTGTAGTGGAGGTGGATTCATGGGTGTTGATGCAAGCCGACCGATCCAAAGATCAATGGTGGGACAATTCGTGGGCCCCTGGAAGACAGCAGGAGCTTGGGCGGGTGGTGAAAGGCAGAAATCAGGCGGTGGCCGAGAAGCTGCAAGGGCAGGTGCGGTGGCTGGGGCAGGGTTTGGGCCTGACTGCGCGCCCCCCCCCCACCCACCCCATGCAGGCGCGCCGGCGCCTGCACCGTGGGGCGCCGCAGCCGTCTGACGGGAGCCGTAGGTCGACCGGGGTGGGAGGCAGCAAGAGGAGCAGGGGCGGCCGACGGGGCGACGGGCCGAGAGCCGGCCAGCAAAGCTGAAGCGATGCGCAGGCGTCCGAGTGCAAGGTGCAGCGCGCCTCACGGGGGGCCGACGGCCCCAGCGACAGGAGGAAAACAGATGACAGCTCTGGCGTCGAAGAGAGGGGCGGGGACGCGGCTGCCAGCCACAAGTGCTGGCGCATGAAACACCCATGGATAGGCGCATGAAATACGACCCAATGAAGCGGGCAGCAAACGAGCAATGCGCGAGTGCAGTAGACTCCTAGCCGGGGGTTCCACCCAAATTAGCTCGTGGGGGCCCCGATCCCTCCCCCCCCCCCCCCC